TTATGCTGTAAGACTATGATTGCAAGATACTGTGATTTTAATTGAGCAGCTAGATGATAGGCACTGGAGCATTCGGATCATTAATCAAGAATGATGAAAACGCACTCCTGACTTGAGGGTAATTGCTGCACGGCACTGTGATTATCTGAAGAGAAAAACTGCTCAGTATTCCCTAGCAGAGAGCCAGGTACAACACAGCAGAACCCGAGGCAGTCGTAGCGATGGCTACCTCCACTTCTCTCCCGCTGTCTGATATGAGGAGGAAGTAATGACCAAAGGTACAGAATCTGAATGTTAACAGGCTGTTTTAAAAATTGTATTGGACAAAAATTCAAAGGCTTGACCACTTAACTAAGTCGATCAAATTTCCACAGGAGTTAAAAGCAGAGAGTTTTTAAGAAAAATAAAAACAGACAAGGAAAAAAACTACAAGATAGGACTTTAAGGATTCTCAGCAAAACAAAGTTAAGTACTGGAAAAGACAGGTAGTTCCACCCTAAGTGGACAAGACACAGGACGGACACACACACACACACATGCACACACACACAGCATTCCACTTCTGTTTGGTTCCTGAACTTAATACGTTCCCAATGAAAAATCTCAATTCCCTAAGAAGCCTAAGGAAGGTTTCAATTCCCTGTTAAACATCTAACGCAGACAAATTTTCTGGCTCTTAAAGTCCAATGTCTGATTTGGACGTAGGGCAAGCATGGCAAAAGGTTAAAAAATGACAAATTTCCCCAAAGTCAGCCCAGGGCGGCAGGGGGTTCATAGGTCAGTTCAGTATCTAAAACCAGATTCTTCCCTTGCTTCATGCAGATTCACTTGCACCCCCGGTGCTCCTGATCTGTCCCCACATGTAACGGGAATCAGAACACCCGGGCAAATCAAGGCCTTGGCTGGTCTTCCTTACTGGAAAAGATGAAGAAACACAGTCTGTTTCCCCTCCCCCTACCAGCTACCCCCTGCATATCACTGCAGCGGGGCCAGCCTCACTCTGAGGCCCTGTGACCTGTCCTCAAGCTCCTATGGGACTGCCCCCGGGACAGAAGTAGCATCTGTCTCTCTGCACTGGCCATCACCTGTCCTGATCTGCACCTGAAATGAGTCTCTCCTGCAGGGATTGGGGAAGCAGAGGAATGGGTAAGGAGAGCGAGGGGAAAGAGAGAAGCGCAGATTCAGCCGGTCCATTCGGGATCTATTGAGTAAGGACCAAGTAGCCCCCAAAACCTTTTAAAGATTCTGCTTAATCACTAGAAAAGAAGCTTCTTAACATGATAGATTTATGCATTTTTAAAGATTTATTTATTTTTACTGGAAAGGTAGGTATACAGAGAGGAGGAGAGACAGAGAGGAAGATCTCCCATCTGATGATTCACTCCCCAAGTGGCTGCAACACCTGGAGCTGAGCTAATCCGAAGCCAGGAGCCAGGAGCTTCTTCCGGGTCTCCCATGCAGGTACAGGGTCCCAAGGCTTTGGGCCGTCCTCCACTGCATTCCCAGGCCACAGCCAGGGAGCTGAATGGGAAGCAGGGCCACCGGGATTAGGACCAGCAAACATATGAGATCCCTGCACATTCAAGGCTAGGATTTTAGCTGCTATCACGCCAGGCCCAGATTCATGCATTTTTAAAACTTCATTTGAAAAATATCTAATGAGGGGCTGACACTGTTGCAGGGCAGGATAAGCCTCACTCTGCAATGCTGGCATCCCAGTTTGAGTCCTGATGGCTCCACCTCCAATCCAACTCCCTACTAATGCGCCTGGGAAGGCAGCAGAAAATTCTGTCTTTGCACATGTGAGGCAGATGGAGTTCCAGGCCCCTGGTTTTGGCCTGGTCCAGCTCTGGCTTCTGTGGTATCAGGGGAGTGAGTCAGTAGATGGAAGACACTCTGTTTCCAACTCTCGCTTCTTTCTGTGTAACTTTGCCTTTAAATAAATATTTAAAAACCTAATGATCACAAAAAAACACAAAAGTATTCTTTTAATTTCTTTTCTAAATTCTTTTTAAAATTTCTTTTCTAACAACTTTATATAAAAATTTTGCATATATCCGTCCACCAACAGCAAGGATGCACCTCTGTGAACACAGGTGTCCTGCAGTAAGTGCCAGGGCTGGTTTGTAGCATGTTCAGCTCATTGCTTTACGGCCCTGCTGCTGTTATTTATAAGTTATAAACTGCAGACATGTTTAGCATCAAAGAAGGAAGCAATGTGAGTTCATTTGCCACCTGCAGCACTTGGAGAGGTACTTGTAGGATAAACACTAATACATAAATTATTGATAATCCAGTTTCCTATTCTGTTACCAACTAATAACTCAGTGTCTTAGCCATAATAAGGGAGCTAGAAGACTTGCAGAGGCAGAATCGCATTCCTCGTAGTTCTAGAGGTTGACAAGTTCAGGATCAATATATCGGCAAGTTCACAGCCTGGTGAAGGCTGCTCTCTGCCAGAAGGAGGTGCCTTGTTGATGTGTCCTCACAGCAAGGAATGGGCAAGGGTTCTTTATAGCAGGGCATTAATCCCACCCATGAGAATCCCACCCTCACCCCTGACCAGCTCCCACTGGCCCTCTAAAGCCCAAAATGCCATAAATTACCATTTAAACGTATGAATTTTGGAAAGATGTAAACATTAAAACCATTGTACTTAGTTATCCTGGTTTATTAAAATCACATCCATGGCACAAATGCCACTGCATTCTCTTTCTAAATGGCTCTCTGGGTTGCAAGCCCCAGATGTACTTCAGGAATTTAAAGACAAGAAGAGTTCAATGCAAGTCCCCTGCACTGTACCTCGAATAAGCGCAGCTGTCCGGGATGTGCCCAGAGCCCAGCTGCTGCCTCCACTCTGCAGGTCCTGCTGCTCTCTCCCCTTCTTCTTGCCCTTCCTTGCTGACTTCCTCTGCACTGACAAAGGTTCTCCCCTCTCAGGTACTCCCTCCAGCCGACGGCAGCCTTCATGGCTTTTTCAGCCCTGGGCAACATCTCAGCAGTAGGTTTTATGGCAAACCAGCAAATGCTCTGGCTTCGAGCTTGAGATTTCCCAAAAACATCAACCTGCCTTAGTTCACCCCCGCTAGGTGCCCAGGCTATCCATGTTCATGGGTCATATCACGGGTGCATACCACAGCCATAAACTCTTGGGTGGGGCAATTCCTACCATCTTGGCTGAAAAGATCCCCGTGTGACTCAGAGACAGAGAGAGGCAGTCACTGAGGTGGCCGGAGAGATGAATAACTTCAAGTAACATTTCCATTCCTGGATGCCCAAGACTCTACTGTGATTTCAGTGGTACAAAATGGATCCAGGCCCAGAATGGTATGTTAGTTCCTCCTTGCTGCTGTATCACATCATCATAAACATAGAAGCTTCAAACAGCACAAACAAGCATCTCATAATTCCAGTATGAGTTTCACCAGGTAGCACTATGTTCCCTCTGAAGGCACTCAAGGAGAACCCATTTGCTTACCTCCTCCAGCTTCCAGAGGCTGTCCCTAGCCCTTGGCTCATGGCCCCTTCATCCCGGTAGAGCCATACTCCTTTGATTACATTGGGCCCAAATGGATAATCCCCACAAGATAATGTCCTTCTCTCAAGGATAGCTGATCCACAACCTCACTTCCCTTCTTCCATGTATCACAACACACCAGCGAGTTCCAAAGGTAAGGCCATTTCTGGGGGAGACCACTATTTTGCCCATCATAAAGGCCATACAGGACAGATCAGTGGGGCAGATTCATTCCGAGTTTTTGGTCACATGAACACAAGTGAGACAACACTGCGCTGAATGTGCTTATCGAAACGCCAACAGTTTATGGTGGTTTTCATCACTTACATTTCATGCCAGTAGACACTCACGCCACGAAAATAAAATGAAAACATTGCTTCAAAAAACAGATGAATGCAAACAGAAACATTTTTATCTTTCCATATTTTATAAGGAATCTTCCCATATGAATCTGCATATTTTACCAATAACCTCTATCAAAAACCTAACTGCAATTAGTCCAGATGAAATTTGTTTTAAAATATATGTTAGGAAACTTCTGAGTTACTTTTGTCATAGCCAGTGGTTAGAGATAATTAAAAATACATTACTAGCAACATTAGCCTTTTGAAGACATACTTACTTAGCTGTGATGTTTCTTCTTCACAATAAATAACATAACTTCGGTTTCTTAAAAAACAAAACAACCCTCCATGCTTGAGGCTATTCCGGTATGCAGAATTTCACGAAGCATTTTCTAGTTATTAACAGAGCTTCTGAAAATTTCACTGTAAAAGCCTGTCACCAAAAATGCCACATAAACCATCTAAACTGAACAGGAGTGGGATGAAGTGAGAAAATAAGATCACGATATGAATGTGAAAGTTGGGGAAAAATACTGTAGCTACAAAAAGCTTTGACGCAGAAAGTATCTTCATGCACATTTGAGTACTAAAAAATAGACTATTCCTTGCGATCCTAATCTTAAAGTTCAAAATAAGAACCAAGTCTTGTCATCTTTCCTTGTACTTGCTGTAAATCCATGTATCCAAACACACCCACAGTGCCGTCCATATGCAACACTCACCCATCGCCACCAGGGTGGAGATCAGTGCCCGCACCTTAACTTTTGGGAGCTTAAGATCATAAAAGCTCAGTTGTTATGTTCATTTTGATTGTATGAATCACTAATTAAACCCCTACTATATCCCAGGCACATTGCGGATGTTAATTTTCAGCCTATTACATTGTTCAATCTACTCAAGGCAAGAAAAGGGGGAGGGTAGGCGGCAGTCACAGTCATCCAATCACCTTAAAACCATTTTAAATTTTAACACCACGTGCAAGCTATGCATTTGTTCTTGTTGGCACATTTACATTGGTCATTTACTCTAAAGCCAACATCCCTTCTTCAAGCAATCACATAACTATTTAAAAATCTGAGATCAACTTGCTAAATAAAACCAACAAAATGTCATCCGTAATCAGCAAACAGGTGACTTACTCAGACTGCTCAGCTGGCGTATGATTGCAGCAAGAGTGCTGTTGGTCACACACTCGAGCTCACTGCTAACTCCTTCAGGCAGAGCCCCACGGCACAAGTGCCGGGGTTCGATGTTCCTCTTCACTAAAGGCATGGCTCAAAATCTGGAGATTAAAATAATTTTGAAAAGGTCATATTCATAGCTTCTCAAATCTCGAGCAGCAATTCCTTCAAAAACAGATTCTCATTTTCATTTTCATATTACTGGTACATGAGACAATCAAGTGGATATGTAGCAAACGTTGAATTACTTTAATGAATTTCACAGATTCCAACAATAAGTGTATACACAATCCTCCAAGGACTAGACTGTGCTTTCATTTTAACAAACCTACTCTTCCGCAACGGGTTAGCAAGCAAACCAGTTCTGAAATGCCACTGTGAAATCCTTCAGTGGGATAAATAACATCTGTTAACTACAGTTGGGCAAAATTATGCCCAACTAGATCTCAACCATTGCAGGACAAGCTGCCCCTCAACAACCTGGGACGTGGTGAGCATATATCACAGTATGCTTTACCTGTTCCTTCCTGCATAACCTTTAGCTCATTCCTTCAATAAACATGCACTGAGCAGGCAGCAGAGAACAAAAGGATGAGCACGCCAGAGTGAGGACCAAGTCCCTCTCCCACAATGGAGCTTTATTTCAGTGGAGAGATGCTGAGCAAATCACACAGGTCGGCGCCCCTCCCTCCATGGTCAGGGTTCCAAGGAGGGCATCAGGGGCTACGAACCCCAATGTGAGGAATGACACCCTGTCTCAGGAGCCAGAGGCAGCATCTGTGGACACAGCTGGTGACTTGCCAACCTGGAGAAGCAATGAAGTCTAGCCCACAAAAAGCTCTGGGCCAAGGAAAAGCAGACACAGAAGTGGAGAAAGGCAAAACCATGCTGCAAATGTTAGTGCAAAGTGCTGTGAAATCTCAACATCTTCATCCACTATCGCTGCCCTGTATCCATCATAATGATGGCCGAGTGCCAGGCCTCTATTTTCAAATCCACATACTACCTCAGGCACTAATGGGCACACTGCCCCAACACATCATTTCAACTCTCTTTTCTCTCTTTACAATGGGAGCAAAATCATTTATCCAGGGACTGGTGTTGTGGCAAAGCAGGTAAAGCCAATATCTGTGATGCCACATGCCTTATGGGAACTGGTTCATGTCCTCCTGGTCCATTTTCTAACCAGCTCCCTACTAATAACCTGGGGAAGCAGCAGGAGACAGCCCAAGTGTTTGGGACCCAGCCACTCCTGTGGGAGTCCTGGATGAAGCTCTTGGTTTCTAGCATTACATTTGGCCAACAAAGGAATGGATCAGCACACAAAATTTCTCCCTCCACCTCTTTCTGTTTCTTCCTCTGGCCCTGTAATTCTTTCAAAACCAACTAAAAAAAGAAAACAGATCTTAAAAAGCAAACTGATGATATCATCAACACATTTTTAAAAGGTGGGCTACAACAGGAAGATTCCACTTAGGACTGAGTAAGAGTGTAAAAGGATTTACTATGGGCTGCTAATTCTTTCTGGAAGAATCACTTAGAGAAGCAAGACAGCAACTCTTCACAGTAAGATAAACCAGAAAACTAGAATCCTCATAAGGACAAGATAAAAGCATGCTCAGATCCTACTACCTGACAGAATGTTGGATCAGGGGAAGGGTCACATTAGGCAGGGCCATTGACATTAACCAGCACACAAGAGAGAACCATTTTCAGGGGTAGATTTTGTGGGAGACATGTGGGCCAAACCCTGTGGAAATACTAGTCCCACTGGTTAGCCTAAGAGTTGGCGTGGTGATGGGCTGAACTAGGTGTGACCAAGGAACCTGACATCGCTCACGAGTAAAGGAACCGACAACAGTCTGGGCTGGTCAAGGCAGCAGCATCCAAATGCGCATCTTGAATATGGTGTGGGGTGGGCCGGGCTGCAACGTTCACCAGCTCATACAAGCCCAAATGGAAGATCAGACTATGCCAGACACTGGCCTAACACCCAATGCAATGTATGAGAACTGGGTCTGGGAGTGGGTCAAGTGCAAGAACTTGGGAAACTCCCCTAGTATGTAATAGCTCCCACTGGTGAACACATGGTCCAGGCCTGTGGGTAGGGCAAGCTGGGAAAATTACCTCCAATGGCTGGCTAATGTGTGGGTTGGTTATGGAAGGGGGTGGATCGGACAGGGCTGAGCAAACCTTAGCTCACAAGCAAAAAATAAAAATCAGGCTGGAACACAGGTCATGCCAAGCCCTCACACTCCCTGCCTCTATCCTCCTGCCCTAATCATGCCACAGCCAAGAGCTGATTAGAAACAGCCCCTACTGGAGCCAGTCATGTTTACTCTGCCTTGCTAATCCTCCTTCTCAGTAACCACAATAAATGACTCCTGTCTAGTGTTGCCACACCCCCAACCCCAAGATCCTGGATGACCCCAAAGCATCCCCATGTGGCCCTGCCCCACTAGGACAGCATGACATGGCCCTCTTCTTGGGAACAAATTCTTCTCAATGGAAGTCACGTCCAGACCGCTGGTCTCACAATACCGTGAGCTACCTACCAACACAGGGTATTTGGGAACAGCAGGATGGTCTGAGAAGGATGAGGGAAGGCAACAAGTCAGCACTTCACTCATTTCCCCCTCTTAGATTCCCAGCAACCCACAGGCATCTCCGGGCCAGGCAACAACACAGCTGAAGAAGCATTCTCTGGGGTGGGCCACAAACCACCTGGATAAGGGGACTGAGTTCCAGAACTGCACTCCCCACAGTGCCTCCAAGTCCTCCATGCAAACTGTTACTTGTAAATGCATCTGCTGACTATACTCACTCCCCTCACCTTCCTCACCCCCCCCCCCCACACACACAGATATTTCTACTTGGACCGCTCTTGGGGCTCTCTGCTGGCCATTGTTCCAGTATTTCAGTCTTCACTTCTCACTGTCATTACACCTTTATTTGGAGCTCCCACACTTATCTAAACACAAAAGACAACAGAAAGAGGCCAGGCAACCTTGTCTGTAATTTCTGGAAAAAGGCTCCACAGCTCCTCTTTCACACTATAATCATGTAGCAATGGCTTTTGTGGCTCTTCGAAGCACCGTGAAATACTCCAGCAGATGTATCTTTTTTCCCAGGGAGTCTTTATTTGATCTGACACTAATTCAGTTTTAAATAAATGGAAGAGCAAGAAAGAAGTAAATATTGTTGGGTCAGTCATTATACTCATGAAAACTCTGTGCAAAAACAGAAACAGGAAATTGACCAGTTCAATTAGTCACCTTGAGCAAGCCTCCATCCCTTTTCCAGGAGAAGTACAACCTTCCAATCCGGCTTCCAAGTCAGCCTCTTTATTGAGAATAAACCAAAGGCTGCTCGTGGGGTGTCTGACGATTTGTAGAGGTTACCTAAGTTATTAGTGTTAGGACTGTCGTCTGTCCCACCTCTCTGGGAAACATCTCAATTCAACAAGGGGCAGCCCGGTTCACATAACCATTAGCTAGATTCCAGACGCAGATGAGACTGGGCCAGGGCTCTTTCCCAGGAAACTCAAGAGTAGGACCGCAATCTCCAGCCTGATCCAGCTGCTCTCCCTAACAGTGGAGACAAGACAACTCTGCAACCACGTGAAGCAGAGATTGATAAAGCTAACTGACTATACAAAATCAGAAGGAAATCACAGAGAAGCTGAGATAATTCCCCACAGCTTGGCTGCCTCTCTCCTGGATCTCATGAAAAACTGGGAGAGAACACATCCACCCTAAATTGACCTTGTCCCCGCAGGGTCAGGCTTACAGTGTGAGGATTCTTCCACCCATCTCTAGCTCCCACACTCTTTCCTGTCACACAGATTGTCTCCTCATCAGATCCTGTGACTGTGATCCCACCCAGACCCCAATACCAACTGAAAAAGCAGGTGGTGAGAGGGGAGACTGAGACTTGCCCACTTTCTGCCCTGCTGGTGAGAAGGCTGCTGTCCTGACAGGGCACAGAAAGCCTTTCACACAGGTCATGGTTCCATTGCAAAATATTTCACTAACTGTAGCCTGGAAAACGTCCTGAAGGGGAGGCATGATGCACACACCCAGAAAATTCAGATGAAAAAACACCTGCCATACAGCAGAGCCAGATAATAACTTCCAAGCTGCACTGTGGCCCTGCCTACAGATAATGGGAGATTGAAGACTAACAGTATGCAATGAGGTATGAAAATAACGGGGTCTTTCTGGTGGGTACAGAATGCCACTCAACAGGACATGCTTAGGAAAGAGCAGGCACAATGTAGAGACTGAAGACACAACTATAGGAGTTAGAGCTGGGCTACTGGACTGCTCAGCAAAGGCAGCATAGCACAACGGGCTTGGTGCTGGGAGGGAAACTTGCATCCTGAAGTTTGGTGGGGACTCACAGACAAGTACCCATGGTGCTGTACAGTCCAACATCTCCCCAAAATCCCCACCAAACCCTCTGGGATTGCACTCCACTGAGCTGGAGGATAGTGCAGAGGCCTCTTGCTTTCAGGGCATTTCTTTTTCTTGGTGACATGATAACAAGCTGGGAACAATCCCAGCAGAACCCCTGCTGGAGTCCTGCCTTGAGAGGAGGAGGAGACAAACAGCATCCTGACTAGGTACAGCAAGTATGAGTAGCTGGGCTGACAGAAGGACTCCAGAGGGCTGCGGGTGAACCCCGGGAAGATTCAGGGTCACAATCACATCGAAGCTTTTTTTGTTTTTAAGATTTATCTTTCTACCACAAAGTCAGGTATATATAGAGGAGGAGGAGGAGAGACAGAAGAAGTTCTTCCGTCCGAAGATTCACTCCCCAAGTGACCACAATGGCTAGAGCTGTGCCAATCCAAAGCCAGGAGCAGGGTGCAGGGTCCCAAAGCTTTGGGCTATCCTCAACTGTTTCCCAAGCCACAGGCAGGGAGCTCGATGGGAAGTAGGGCTGCTGGGATTAGAACTGGTGACCATATGAGATCCTGGCAGGTTCAAGGTGAGGACTTTAGCTGCTAGGCCACCTTGCTGGGGCCCACAGTGAAGTTTTAAGGGACCCAATAGCTAGAAAAGCAGTGGAATATTCCCTCCTGAGGGAAAGACAGATT